GCCATAAATTTAATTAAATTTTTATAATTTTATTATCTAAACTTAAAAAATAATAATGATCATTTTTGGCAATCGACAATAGTTCTGCTTCAAATTATATTATTCAGCATTTCAAAAATGTCCGTTATTAGAATATATATCTATAAAACAACCCGATTATACAATACCTAAATTACAAACTAGTCTCTCAGTTTTAAGCTAATCGATTAAAGTTAGAAGAGTGATAATCTACATAATCTTTTCTTAACTCTATACAATATCTTAAACCTTTCTCAAAAGTACATTGCGTCAAATATTCATTTACAACTCTCTTCACTGCTGCATTTGACAAGAAATTTGCTTATAGAGTTAACTTATTTATGGAAAAAAAACAAAACTATCAAGCTGATACATGCATTTTAGGCAATGCGACAGGATTGTAATTTTCACTCCGATTGGAGATATTCGATATACACACAGCAGAAAAAGTGTACGGACACCCACAAAATTTTTCTTAAATTTTGCTTAACTTTTTTAATTTTTACTCAAATTGATTTTTGGTTTCTGATTTATTTTAACCAATGGAATAACAATAAAGATCAAACAAAAAAACTTAACAGTTTTCTTTACAATAAAACTATACACAATTATATGCAAAAGTCTACGGAAACTTCTCAATATTTACATTTACATTTAAATTTATACAAAATACAATGGATAAATATGGGTATCTAATTATATTAAAAACAAATTTGAAAGAACATGACAGAATGTTAGGGCTTGAAGTAGGACAGAGTCGTTGTCCTGCTGAAACAGTATACAGCAGCGATCGTACGGATTTGACTGCTGAACCATGCTCCCAGGTAATTCATACACTACTAGAATCACTAGACCTTAATCCCATAGAACATCTTTTCTTTATTTTCAGCAAGGATATGTTCAGAAACCTCATCAAGGAAGGATAGCTAAAAATAAACACACAGGATACGGCAAAGCTGCTTGAGTCCATGCAAAGACGCTTAACCGGGGTTATTAAACACAGAAGTTTTCCTACAGGCTATTAAATTGTAAATTTCTGTGCCGATAATCATATTCAAAAAATAAATGCCATACAGATTCTAATAAAAAAAATTTTATTCCAATAATATTTTTGTGTTGTGTTTTCATTTTAAATTCTCAAGCAGCTAAAAAAAAATATCCATTATTTTCAACACTCCACCACTTATGTTGTTTACCGAATAATGCGACTGTTATATTTAATCTCGAATACATAATACCAAAAATAATAATATCCATTTTTTGTGAAGTTTGGGCTGTTATAAATATTTATAAATAAACTTATTAAAATGTGGCAACTCTGTTTTTGATCGTTTCCTTTTTTATGTTATTTCGTATTTTATATTTACAATAATTTATTAATTATATATTCTATATGGTCTCACAATAAATTTGATGGGATTTGCCGCTGACAATACTACGTTACTAGATGTATTTGCCAATTTTTAAATTTACATATGTTCAAAAGCTTTATTATCTGGACTTGTTTCGGGACTATTTTATTCCATATTGGTATAAATCAGATCAAGTTCTAAAAGTTTCAATATGACTTTCATATCTAAATATTCACTTTTCACTGCCACATCAACATCACTGCCATATCTAAATATTTAAATTAGAATTTGTAATATTATTGGCCGTCGTGGGAACCAACATTTAATCAAGTCTTGGAGCAATAGGTCCCTATGATAAGTTTTTTTGAAACAGATCCGGCATTAAATCTGAAACGAAGAAATTTTCATATTCTTCCATGTTTCACACATATTTTGTGTACTATTGCTATTTTAGCAATGATCTGTTCACCTTGCTAATTAATAAAACTCTAAAAATTTTCAATGTTAATAAACTTTTATTCAACTTTTTACAGAGAGAAAAATCGGAACGTTCTCCTCAATCAAAACCAAAAAACTTAAAAATATTTGAAATTGAATTTTACTTTTTAAATTCAATAAATGCACAGCCAACTGGGTCGCCACAGTACCCCCTCCTAGCGATGGAGTACTAGCAACAACGCGACACCACAACTAAGTCGACAACACCACTCTTAATCCCGAAATTCCGCTAACCTTGCTGGGAAACGCACTACTCTACCAGCTCGTGTCACTTTCGGAATCGGCAACAGGGATTCACGCCTACAATCACCAGAAGTCACTAACTGATCACCATTCAACAACGCTGAAGGCTGACGCGTTTCTGGAACAACCTGTTCAAGATCATCACACGTTAAGTACGCCGCCTTCAACCTATCATTCGAAACAGTCACCTCTCTCCCACGGCAAACAATAACAGACGTCTTCTCATTACGACTCAGCACCTCAAATGGACCTTCGTAAGGCTGCTCAAGTGGAGCTCGAGCACGATCCACTCGAAGAAAAACGTGCTTACAATTAATAACGTCACGCGGAACATACACAGATGGATGACAATGTCTTGTTGATTCAACGGATTTAACCTTAGCTAAAGCCCTTCGCAACGCCGACACAAAATCAGTCTCGGACGACTTCTGCTTGAAATCCGAAAGCATCTGCCCTGGAACACAAAGAGGATTTCCAAACAACATCTCTGAAGGACTAGCATTTAGGTCTAATTTCGGTGTCGTTCGCAATCCCAACAACACAAGCGGAAGAGACTGCGTCCAATTACTTGAGGAATGACATCGAATGGCTGCCTTCAATGTTCTATGGAAACGTTCAACCATACCATTTGCTTGAGGATGATAAGCCGTGGTATGAAAGTGTTTCACTCCAAGCAATCTCGTCAGTTCCCGAAATACAGCAGACTCAAACTGCCGACCCAAATCAGTGGTAATAGCCTGCGGAGAACCAAAACTTGCCACCCAACCGTCGATAAAAGCCGCTGCAACTTCTTCTGCCGTAATGCCCGACAGAGGCACAGCAACAGGCCACCGAGAAAAACGATCGACGCAAGTCAAACAATAACGCTTCCCCTGAGACAAAGGCAATGGACCCACAATGTCAACATGAACATGCTGGAACCGACTATCAATATCAGCAAACGAACCAATTGGTGTTTTAGTATGCCGCTGAATCTTGGACTTCTGACACGCAATGCAACTACGCACAAACACAGCTACATCCTTAACCAAACCAAGCCAAACATACCTAGCCTGCACCAATTTCCGCGTTGCTCGAATACCAGGATGAGCCAAACCGTGGAGTTTTGAGAGTACCAGCTGCCGACAGTTTGCGGGAACAAAAGGACGAACACGACTGCCTGACACATCACAGTACAGTTCAATACTCGAATCCGGCAATCTCAACTTCTTCAACCCAACACCATCTTCAGACTGGCTCTTCAGCTGAGCGAGCAACTCTGCATCAGTCTTCTGCCCCTCAGCAATTAACTCAATAACATTTGCCTCCAACTGAACCGTAGCAACCCGAGACAAAGAGTCAGCCACCGTATTATCTGCACCAGCCAGATGACGAATATCAGTGCAATACTGACTAATAAACTCCAGCTGTCTTGCACGACGAGGAGATGCCTTCTCACTTATTTGCCTGAACGCAAACGTTAAAGGTTTGTGATCCGTAAAAATGACGAAATCACGTCCCTCTAATGCATACTTAAAATGCTGGACAGCTTGATAGATAGCAGTCAACTCACGATCATAAGCACTATACTTAGTCTGCGCTGGACTCAAACCTTTTGAATAAAATGCCAATGGCTGAGTCACACCTTTCACTACTTGTTGGAGAACAGCACCCACCGCAACGTCTGAAGCATCAGTCGTGAGCGTCAATTGTGCATCCAGAGCCATGAAGTTAAGCAACGTAGCTTGGGCAAGATCATTCTTGCAAGCCTCAAAAACCTCTACATCTTCTGGAGTCCAAGAAATCACCGACTTATCATTCTTGCGGTTACCTGGTGTAAGATGAAACAACCGCTGCTGATTCTGCACAGCGTTACGCAGAAACGGCCGATAAAAGTTCACCATGCCTAAGAATTGTCTAAGCTGTTTAACCGTTGCTGGCAGAGGAAAATCACGAACAGCTTGAACTTTACTCTCCGGAGGACGTAAACCCTTTGCACTAATAACGTGCCCAAGGAACTCGATCTCGGAACAGCCGAACTTACACTTGGCAAAATTCACGGTCAAACCAGTTTCTCTAAGTCGATCTAAAACCAGTCGCAAATGCATTCTGTGTTCTGCTTCATCTTTTGACGCAATTAAAATATCGTCGATGTACGCAAAAACGAAATTAAGATCACCTAGAGTCTCATTCATAAAACGCTGAAACGTCTGGGCAGCATTACGGAGACCGAAAGTCATAAAGCGAAACTCGAACAGGCCAAACGGAGTTGTAATAGCTGTCTTCGGAATGTCTGCCAGTGCAAGCGGTATCTGATGATACGCTTTCTGCAAATCTATCTTCGAAAACATAGTTTTACCATGAAGAATACTCGTCACATCATGAATGAACGGAATCGGATACCGATCAGGTTTAGTTTGCGCGTTGAGCATGCGATAATCGCCACACGGTCTCCAACTTCCATCGCCTTTGCGAACCATGTGAAGTGGACTTGCCCAACAGCTTTTCGAAGGTTGACAAATCCCTGTCTGGACTAAAAATTGGAATTCCTTCTTGGCTTCTTCAAGTTTGGCTCCAACTAAACGTCGGGGACGAGCAAATGACGGCGCACCAAATGTCTCGATGCAATGTTCAACCTTAGTAACTAAACCCATCCGATTTGCACTCATAATGCCTAAATCACGGTATTCATTAACCAGCTCAGCATAAGCTGAAACTGAACCACACACACGCACAGTATCTTCTTGAGACACAGCAGCCTTACCCTTCATCATCAAAGTCGTCTTCGAATCAACTAACCGCTTCCTTTTCAAATCCACTAACAAGTCATAGTGATTAAGGAAGTCGGCTCCAACAATAGGACAGCTAACATCCGCAATCACGAACGTCCACGGGAAATCTCTACGCAAACCCAAAGACAAAAGCAGTCGACGCTCGCCAAATGTTTGAATAGGCGTACCATTAGCGGCATATAAATTAACTGATGCAACACTGTTAGCCCTTTGCTTCCAACGACAGAACGACTTCGGTAAAACTGATATGTCCGCACCAGTATCAATGAGAAAAACGGTCGACGTGGCGGGATCTTTAATACTAAGTCGAGCTATACGAACACTAACCCCTTCTCGGCTCGACGACGTAGAAGGAGTGCCTAGTTTTTTGACTGATGAGAGCTTGCCACAAAACTACAGGGCTGCCGACAAGCATTAGCTCTATCACCAAACCTTTCGTGATACCAGCACCAATCTGGATGACTTCCTGGTCGGGAACGAGTTCGCCTACGTCTCCTCGATGACGATCGACTTTGCACCGACTCACTACGACGTAAATCCAAACGACTCAGACGCTGTTCGATTTGCTCAAGCCTTCGTAAAATCACAGCATTCTCAGAATAGGCTGGACAATCAGAGGCTGACGCTACAGCTATCTGTTGAAAATCACCCGCCTCGCAAATACGATCTGCTAATTTCGCCAGTTCTGCTAGTGCCACGTTCGATGCCTGCAGAATAGCGCGCACTTGTGGTGGCAAACGCTTCAGCCAAAGAGACTTAAGGAACTCATCGCTCACCTTGTCTTTAGCTAACGCTGTCAACTCCGTTAGCAACTGTGTTGGGCGTCTATCACCAAGTTCAACTTCTGACAACAACCGTTGAATCTTCCGCTGCTCGCTCTCACTGTACCGCTCTATGATGCAAGCCTTTAAATTAGCGTATCTTCCAGTTTCAGGAGGATGAAGCACTGCATCACTTACATCGGCGATAACACTTGACTCAATCGCTGCTACTACCGTGTTGAACTGTGTGATGTCACTCGTAATGGCAGCTACTGCGAATTGCGCCTCGATCTGAGCAAACCAAATCTCCGGTCGCTCGTGCCAAAACGGTGGCACCTTCACTGCTACACGGTTTACGACACTTCCACTATCAGAAGCCATTACTACACCTTCGTCTGCAACTGACATCACAGCTCGATAATTAGATATTTAGCTCAGAAGTTAATATTTCTAAATTTAAACTTTTTCGAAATCACGTCGGGGTCACCAATTTAGCAATGATCTGTTCACCTTGCTAATTAATAAAACTCTAAAAATTTTCAATGTTAATAAACTTTTATTCAACTTTTTACAGAGAGAAAAATCGGAACGTTCTCCTCAATCAAAACAAAAAACTTAAAAATATTTGAAATTGAATTTTACTTTTTAAATTCAATAAATGCACAGCCAACTGGGTCGCCACACTATAAAGCGTTATTGCTGAAAGTCTAAAAGTGTTATTATTCCAAATTTTGGTCACACTTCCTTTTTTAGTGATTACTCTTCGCTTTAAGATTAATACCCAATATTTTTTTCGATTCTTCAGCTACAAAATAAAATTCTCCTACAAGCTACGTGGGCTCCGTGGTATGTCATAAACAAAAATCGACACAAAGACCTAAATCTACAAACTGTTGAAGAAGCTATTTGCCAATATACACCTTAATTCCGAGAGAGACTTAAGTCGTATCCAAATCCTCATGTACGATACTTATCTTCTGCAAATTCACTTTATCGCCTTAAAAAAAATTACTCATAAATATAAATACCCTAGCTCAATAGGTTACTTGTTAGTTTTTTAAGATTCGCGAAATTATTGTCAAGTTCTATTTAGAAAGATTCAATTAATAAACCTATGAAAGCAAAAAACAAAAATTGCGTTGAGTCTCATCCACACTTTCGAAAAGCTCAACTGTTTTTTCTGCGTCAAAGCGAAGGAGTATATATATGAATCCTTTCGAAAAAACCTATATTTGGCGTCTAATTATATATATTCGAACCATATAGAAAAAATTCTAATCCAAACTTTTGTATATAAACAAAATAGAAATTTCAAATTCTCAATATTTGCGTTTTTCAGTGATCAAAATAATATCCTTGGATTTAAAATTTGAGAACTTCTAATATTAAGTAGAGTAGATCTTTAAGACAATAAAACTTAAGAGGAGATTACTTAATGCCTTTTGGTGCCACTGTAAGGTAATCGCACTTGTAATAAATACAGTCAAACTTCTATAACTCGAAGTCCAATTTTGCAAAGAAAAAGTTCGACTTATGGAGACTTCGAGTTAGAGAATTTTTTTATTTTTTATTTCTTTTATTTTTTTTTTATTTTTGTTTAATTTTTGTTTTATTATTGAAAGAAACTAGAATTATATATTAAAACATATATTTATTTATTTAAAATCAAATATAGCACAGAAGTTACAGTAAAGTAAAATAATTAAAAATTAGTGTTTGGGATTTAAATTTTTTTTTTCTTATTTTCAGTAAAAAAAGATTCCAATTTATTGCAAGTCTTATAGTGATCATCAGTTGGAGGAAGTATCATTCGTTTGTAAATAAAAATACAGAATTTGAATGAATCTTCTACTTCATTCTTGGAAGGCTGATAAACAATTACATCCACGGAACCCTCATCATCACTTTCCGTTGCGCTTAGAATTGGATCCAGTAATTTAGAGCTATAGTGCTCAATAATATCCTCATCTGTAGGAACGCATGATATACACATTTCATTGTCAAGTCCAATATAATCATTAAGAGTAGCATTGGAAGTTATTTTATTTATTTTAAATGACGCTGGCAGTTACTGGCATTTGTACAAAGAAGCAACTTAAGAAAGAAAAATTTAAACATTTGGTTTGGAAAACATGACTTCCCCTAACAACAAAATGCATTTATACTTTAAACAAAAATTCGACTTATAGAATGCACTTTCCCCATATTTCTATCGGTACGGGAAAAAATTTTGGTTCGAGTTATAAAGAAATTTGAGTTATAGAAGTTCGAGTTATGGAAGCAGAATTGTATGTAGGTAATTTGCTCTCTAAAACCTTGGTGCACCGTTTTAGGTTTGACTTATATAAAATTCGAGTTATAGAATAGAATTTTGGAAGTTATGGAAGTTTGACTGTATTAAAGTTAATACATTTTTATTTTTTTTTACTAAAACACTGTAACGACCTTTTTCCCGGCCCTATCTATAGCTGGGGTATACTCAGTGAGTATACCAGGGTTCGTTATAAGAAATTTATAAATGTGAAATAATAGAGACACTTCTGTTTAAAGTAGCGTTTATTATTTAACCAAAAAAATATAAATTAAGTTGTGGAAGGTAATAGACAGCGATGTTGAAAATGTTGTCAATGATGTGGAATGTTGTTAATGTTGTAACACTGTTGTAGCGATGTTGTAAACGGTGTAGAATGTTGTATGATGTTGATGTCAGTGGTGCGCAAGTTGCTGTCATTAGAATCGTGAAATCTGTAGTGAAAGAAATTCCAAATAGCAAAACCTAAAGAAACTCTAATAAAATATAAATCAATACCTTTGTCAGTAAAAACCAGACAAGGGTCCCTTCCTGCTATTACGCCTGGCCACGTCCGTCAGCAATTGCCAAACGCTCGTTGTCCCACACGCCTTTTGACAGTGTTTGTGACTCGTCGTCCATTCCTCCATCAGCTATGGCCAAATGGAAAACTGGATGACTAGTTAAACTACCCAACGCCAGCATAAGCCAAGCAGCAGGTAACTCAACTGGTTAAACTACCCTACGCCAGCATAAGCCAAGCAGAAGGTAATTCAACCACCATCACTTCGCTCAAACCAGTCCATCCATTCACACGGTGATCGTCAGCAATGGCCAAACGAATCAACATGTGCCTGGACCAACTAGTCCGAGCTCCCACTATCGTCCCTAACAAAATAGTTCTTACCTGTAGTGAAAGAAATTCCAAATAGAACGATTTGGCAATTTCGCTGCCCTTTTATTTGAAATTCCTTCCATTACATACAAAAACAATAATTATTTTTCAAATAAACAAAGTCCCGTAAATTTGTCAAAACAAATTTCTTATTGTTGTACGCATTGCAATCAAATTCAACAAAAATAACTGCATCACATAAAAAATGCGTGCACAATATTTTTCTTAAATTTGTTTATGCAGACAAACAAGTGAATTAATTACAACAAATTTAACTAAATTTTATTAGCGGCAAAAAATTAATCAAAACATATTTTACTTTACAGGGTCATTCGTTTATAAAAAATGTTTGTCTTTGATATGTAATTTACAGGGTCAAAAATAGGTGTTACTGCAGAAAAATTTTATTGAACATAGAAATATGTTTTATTAAGTGGATTTAAAACTCATTATAAAAAAAACTCATTATACTATTAATTAAATTTGTGAGCCTATATTTTAATGCAAAATTTGGGCCTTACAACACATTTTTCGAGCCCAAAATTTTGAAAATAAGTACAATACATACCATAAATGATACACAAATAATAAAAACCATGCAGTCAATATACAAGAAATGTTTGTATGAACACAATATACTTTGGAACTAAATTTAAACAAGGATTAGCAAACATGTCATGAGCAAATGAGAAGTATCCTTTTTTATATTTAGCAAATTGATAGGTACTGAGCATGTTTGGGTGACGTTATTGTTATGTTAAGTATACATATTATAAGGGATTCAAGGGCTGTAGTGGATATGTTACGCTGTTTGTGAAAAGGGTGGGTAATTCTTTTTAAAAACTCCTTGTTATATTAAGCTCTGTTCATTTTAACTTTGCACCGACGGTATGCACAATGCCCTCTGATAATTTCACTCTACTTTAAATGAAACGCAGTAGCCTTTTGGTGAACAAAAATAAAAAACTTTGCCATTTTTAGATAAACCCATAAACGCTTCACACCACATCACAAGCAAATTTTTCGACGCATCAATGACGAAAGGCTTTTTAAGTAGGGCAGATGCATATGGACTAGACTTTGGAAACTTCACGGCTGATTACAAATGCCTGAGTGTACAGTTATCAAATTTTACGCTTCGATTCCCAAATCCTTTTAAGATTGCACTTCACATAAAATCTGGGCTAGACTTCTCTTCCCGCCGTCCAAAATAGTGAGCACGTATAGCATCCGCAGTGTTCTAATACATTTTTTATTGTTTATTTATAAGTATATTATATATAAATTTAAAGGTATACTTAAAAAATTAAATTGTTGGTGATATCCATAGAATGGGGAAGTGTAAAATATGTGTAACTTCTTGCGTCACAAACTAAAGCATTAACAAACTAAACAAATATTGCTTTAAAAATGTTATGATTGTGCAAAAAGTCTTCAGATACTTTTCATAAAAGACTCACAAACTCACAAGATATAATTATAATAATTATTGATAGAGAAAACAAATTCTCTAACGAGAATTGAATATTTTTGATAGTCGCTACTCTAAAATCAAAACGAATTGGCAAATTAATTCCAATTTTTTGGGTTCTTCAGAGAATGAGAACGGTAGATATAAAAGAAAGTTTATTTCTCCATATCTTTTCATTCCACAAAAAATGTTCCGTTACACGGTCATAATTTTATTTTTACTAATAAGTCGCAACTTTGCGCAAAGAAATGAAACGAATTCTTTAGACGGAGCGGGAGTGATGAATTTGACATCTTTGCTTCTTACCAACGCAAGTGTTGTGATCACAAACATTCACAGAATTGTTGGAGGACGTCCGATTTCCATTCGTGAAGCTCCATATCAAGCAGCCGTTATAATGGATGGACAATTCATTTGTGGCGCTTCTATACTTTCGCGGTATTGGTTACTTACAGCAGCACATTGCGTTTATGGAACTTCTGGTAGTAAAATCGTTGTACGCGCTGGTACTCGTTATTTTCAAAATGGAGGTCAAACTAGAAATATAGTACGGGTCGTGATTAATGGCCGCTACAACCCAAATTACGCAAATAGAGATGTTGCGATGCTCAAAGTAAACAGACCGTTTTACTTTACCTCGTCCGTGCGACCAGTAAAACTTCCTTCCAAAAACAGCAGACTTCCAAAAAGATTTTTTACGAGCGGTTGGGGACTAAGGTATGAAAATGCACCAAATCCATCTAAGGTACTCAGAGGCACAACACTCGATCTAGTAAACATAAGAGCCTGTGCACGTGCTTACAAAAAAAAATCAAAAATAACAAAAAATATGATATGTGCTGCCCGACCAGGCCAGGACGATTGTCAAGGTGACTCAGGTGGTCCACTTGTTAATAATGGTGTACAGTATGGTATCGTATCTTTCGGAAAAGGCTGTGCACGACGAAAATACCCCGGTGTTTTTACAAATGTAATGCGACAAAGCAGATGGATTCGTACTGTAACAAGAATATTTTAACAATCAATTAGATATATTTAAGCCTCTTCAAGTATTAAAGAATTTTTAATTATTAACACATCTTTTACTTTAACCAACATTTTTATTACTTATTATATTTATAGTAAATTATGTAAGTTTAATTAATGCGTGTTTGAGGTTTTCTTTGATTTTATTTTATTACCATTACCGCCCAGTTTCTTGCGACCATTGATTTTACCTTTGTTTTGATTTGAGGGAATGGGCTTCGGTTTCGGTGCCTTAGTTTCCACACGAACAAATAAATCATAATTGAATTTGGTACATGCACGACCTACGAACAGAGATTTTAAAATTAAAACGAATAACATATTTTCAAATATAAACTATACCACAACATAATTCTTCCCCGCATTCAACACATGTCATCAAACGAGATTCCACAATGCCAGATTTATTTTTAACTTTCTTGACACAATTGTTAAGTGCAAACTCACGCTTATCCCGTGCCTCCGTCTTAAGCTGCAGCTTTCCCATCTCGACCATTCGACTGAAATATTCCTCATCCACTTTCGCTTTAGGCCGCAAAGTGGTTAGCATTTTCCAATCGATTGGTACTGCACACAAGTCCATAAGAACAACATCTTTCATTTCATTTGGCACTGGGTCGGCATATGCATACAATGGGTCACGTTCGCCATTACTCTTTAACAATTTCCTCATTTCCTTTTTCGGCATTTTAAAGGAAAAATCCTTATCCTTGATTTTTATTTCATCAGCACGAACTTTAATTGGGCGCATTTTGTAGTCCGGCACTTTTTCCATCAAGCGTTTGTATTCCTCCTTAGTTTGAATTACATTGCGACTTAAGTCTAAAACTGGAACAACTGATTTTTTTTTCGACAGCAAATCGTCCAATTTACTCATTTCACTATCAAAAGTAACTTTTAACTAAACTTTATTGCATTTCACAAATCCTCTGTCAGAAATTCCATATATCAAATGAGAGCATTTATTGATTAAACAAACGTTGAAACCTATAGACAAATCTGTTGAGTGAGAAATCCGGAAAGGCGGTCTCTCGCATTGCTGCATTATTGCACTTTTTCAAACTAACTTATAACTATTAGTTCGTGAGTGTTTATTTATTTTACTCGGATATGGTTTATGTTGTTGTTTAGTTTATTTAAGATAGTTACTCACAAATTACACAAAACAATAAAGATAGGAAAGGACTTTATACAATGTCTATGTACAAGTAGATTGGTCTCTGATATCTACAAGTAACGAATAAAGACATATGGAATAAGAGCTCACGCAAACTACAGATGAGGTGTAGATAACAAATACCTAAGGCCTACTATTCATAGCATTCAATAACATAAATATTCATAAGTTGAACTCTGCGCGTTGACTATTTTTGGGCTTTTGCACACCGTTCAACTGCGACACGAACTTTTGGCAGCATTTTTGACCGTTTAACTTTCAATTTTAGATTTGCCAGTAACTCTGAAAACAAACAAAACGAATTAATTATTGAAATTAGCTTACGACGGCAAATCGGTCAGCATCTACGTTTGACCCAAATACGGAAATCAGTTAAGAAGCGAGTTGTTAATGTAAATTTCCGTCGCGTCGAGGGAAGCAAGCTAAATATCTGTTTGTGAATATGACGTCACAATGGTGAACTTTATAATATATTTATGTATCAATATAAACTAGTTTTAATTAAACTATTCTTTTTTTAATCAAAACAAAAATTGTCATTAGAAGATTTTTCTAAAGATTTTTTTGTTGCAAGTTCAAAAAAAAAACTTTCAATATAATTTCTAAAAAACAGGGCTTTGAACTAGTTTTTTTCTTCTCGTTTTAGTACTGGTTCAATAAAAAAAATATGTATACAAATAGAGTTCCGGTTCATACTTCGACAAAAAAGTTTTTCGGTTTTCCGTTCAGTTCTGAGTTACTAACCTTTATCTCTTTGTATTAGAAATAAACCTTTTCTCATAATTAAAATCGTTTTATTCATAACTTTTAAAAAGAATAGTGCCGAATTTAATTATTAAAAATCCAATATAGTATTTTCAGTTCGGATCCACTTTTGGATTAAACAAACATATTCTTTCTTTTTGGTATTCAGTTCAGTTTCATTTCGAAGGGCTGTTTAAAGTCTTTTAAAAGAAATATGAGGTTTCACAAATTTGTTCCAAATACATCATCTTCTTCCTTGTTAATATAAAACCTAATATAAAACCTTAATGAAGAATATATGTTTCAACTTAAATACTAAATTGGTTGCTCAACGGAAAATCTTCCAATCGCATGTAAAGCTATCAATTCATTACATGAGCTTTATATTAGTAAGTTGGCATAACAGTATCATATAGAGATAATACCTTTTAATATTTTAATTTTAAATATTGCTACTCTGTTCGATTTGGTGCTGTTAATATTCAATATCTTGTATATTACTTAGTAATGATATTATAGTAAACCCATATATATTTTCATGTTTATTAATTCATATTATTTTTAATCCCTATTTTATTATTATTATTAAGTATATGTGTTTTATTATAAGTTAAAGAAATGAAAAACAATATTATCAAAAGTATAAAGAAATCAATTCTATTTTATTAATCGATAGTCCTATTAGATTTTAATACATCATCTTCTTCTTCTTATTTGGCACTACAGTCCAGTATGAACCTTGGCATCCCTCACGACCTGCCTCCATCTGTCCCTATCTTCTGCTACTCTCTTCCAGTTCAGTATTCAATAATACAGCATACATAGCCTATTATACGTATGACCTAGTTGGCTTCAATATGCCATGGTGTACATATTAATTAATTTTAAATAGATTTATTCATTTATTATTTCATTATTTTTACTGTTTTAAACAATATTGGAAAGGTATTATAACTTCACTTTCTTGAAGATACACAATTTGAAATACGTTTTGTTTATACACACATCTGAACACACTTGACAAGTACCGTACAGTCCTTATAGTGTTATCGAAATTCTTAAAATAAGTTTAATGTAACTTTGACTTTTGATAATAACTTTATGACATTTCCCTCGTCTTTCGAATTAAGAATTTTATGTTGTTTTCTTATTTGATGCACCATTTATTCCTAAGAGATCTATGTGTGAAAGTTGAACTAAATAAGAATTTTGAAAAATAACAAAGAAAATCATATAAAAGCCTGTAAGACAGTATTTTCTGGCATTTAGTCAAGATGAGTCGTTCTGCTTTGTGTTGCTTATTTTTTTTGCTCTGTTGGAGCATTTTTACAGACGCTAAATCGACCCGAAAGCACAGCACCAGGAATAGGCAAAGTAATAAGAGCGTTGTCATTGGCGGAAAACTAGTAGAAGAGGATGAAGCACCGTGGCAAATTGTTATTTTAAATAAACACAGGGCGGTGTGCTCTGGATCCCTATTACGTAATAATGTAGTTCTAACTGCCGCTGAATGCTTAAAAGATATTGAACCAGCTGATTTAATTATTCGTGCCGGCTCTAATCATTTTAAAACTGGAGGTCAACTACGCAAAGTACGTGAAACCGTTTATCATCCCAAATACAATGAAGGGAGTCACGCATATAATGTTGCAATGTTGAGCTTAATCCGCCCACTGAACTCTACAAAATTCAATCTACGCTATGTAAATCTTCCAGAGAGCTCCGATGAGTTCCCATCTTCAGTATCAATTTACGGATGGGGTATCGTGAAAAACAGTACTAGCTCTACTGTTACTAAACGTCTTAGACAGACGAAAGTAAAAGTCTATTCCGAAAGAAAATGCTCTGAATTTTTGGGAGATGAGAAAATGATTGAAATAGTTTTCTGCGCAGGTGATCGAATTAAGAAGGTTGATATATGCAATGACGATATCGGCAGCCCTGCAATGGGTCCAAAAAATACACAATTCGGAATAGTTTCCGAAAGTAAGGCTTGTCAGACAGATTCGCATACAACCATTTTCACAAATGTATTCTCAATAAAGCCTTGGATTATAAATACTCTAAATGCAATAAAATGATTTATTCTAAAAAATAATATAGTTATATATTTGTTTTATTTTCATTCGCAAAAAACTTAAATTATTTTGTATGTTATATTATATATGTTATTATATTATATATTATATTAAATATATGGCATATTATATATTATAGGTATATTATATATTTTTCATTTTATCTGGCGATTTTGCTCATCCAACTCGATTCCCTCGGACAGTTCCTTTGTATATAACAAACTCTCTTGTTTTTATTATTATAATAGTAAATTTATTTATCACTCGCAAAAAAGTGACGATGGCTTAGAAGGCACATAAGATAAAAAGAAGTTATCACAAAAAATGCGATGAGTTACTTGTGAAGTTATATTTTCTAACAATTTTAGAACACCGTCGTCACCAAGTCCAACATTTTTATCATGAGGTGTTGCGGCACCTCCGTAAAATATGGTTTGATACAAGTAACCAGCTGATGAGCACAAACACCAGGTTTTAAAGCTAAATCAAATTGTTTTTTTACGAACAAATATTTTACATGAATGTCTACCGAAACATGGTATCATCTGTTCATCAATTGATAAGTCATGGGGCCATTTACCAAATTGCAGAAAACGGTTATTGCTAGTGTCAATGAATGCCCAGACTTCTGCAAATTTATCTTCTTCATTTAATAGGGTGTTATCAAATAAGTGAATAAACCTATTGATTGCCTTAAATTGACTGCGAGGTAATGCATTGCGAAAAATTGGCACTTCCGTATGTGAACTTAGCGGCCAATAAAGTTTCCATTGTGGAAGTAGATGATATGGTAAACACTCGAAACATATATACCAAAACACCTTTTAAGGTAAAATTGCTTAAGGTCAAGGCAAACTTTATTTTTCAAAGCATATTCATTGCTAAAATTGAAATTTATATATAATTTTGTTACAAGATTGATTTCTTTTATTCATATAACAACTTTTATATTTTATTTACAACAGATAATCATTTTTATGGTGTTTAAACACGATTTTATATTTTTATATAATTTATTAAAAAAAATATTCGTGTAAGCTTCTTTAAAGAACCATAAAATGGTGGTAATTTAATGTAAATTTTGGTATAGCAACATAAAAGGTATCATTCCAAAGATAACATAAGTAGCAACTAATAATTATTATCATGGCTACTTTTAACTACCCATCCGGGCCAAAATGGGTTAAATTAAACACGCTAGTCTATTTATTGTCATTAGTCTATTTATTTAACAGATATATATCAAAACATTTTTTTCCGATATAGCTACGAACTAAAAAATATAAACAGTAATATTATATATCAATTTCTTATATTACAATTACATTGTATGTACTCATTTCACACATGACCACATTTTGAATAGGTCTCCATACTCGTTCTCATATTTGTATTTTCTTTTAGATGACCATTTGTAATTATATTTCTTACATTCTAGCTTATGTTTATAATCAGGACAAAAGTTCCAAATCGTCAAAGTTTCATCGTCACCACATGTCGCAAGTCGAGAACCATCCGGAGACCACATTACAAAGCGGGCTCCATTTTCCGGAATTCTTATTACATCAACTAAGCGATCCAATGAAGACATAACAAGAATCTGGTAGTCATGACAGCCGTCAGAATCTTCACAACGTATAAAAGTAAATACATTTAAAATTATTAGTTACATCTTCACACTCAGTAGAGGTAACTGTTAAAGTATGATGAAGCAGTGTAGTTAACTTTTAAATAGATTTAAAAAGTATTCTTAAAACATTGAATTTTATGTAAATATTTATAAATATTTCATATCTTTGAAAATCCTCTAAATTTTAAATATAGCCTCTTTGTCAAAATAAAGAAAGCGTAGCTTTATCAGCGACACTAATGCATACTTTGCAAATATTTCTATTAAAAATATAATACTAGATGGATGCCATGAGTTCCTACTTTATTTGAGCAATACATTAAACATTGCGTCAAAGAAAATTATTACAAAAAATTATTTAAAATTTGTTCCTTCCCTTTAATACTATAAAAATTACTATGAAATATAAGAAATTTCAGTTTGGAATATTGCAAGAAGTACATAATATAGGTACCTATCTACCTAAGAACAATATTATTTTGTCTGTGAAAAACATATTGCGAACTCTGGACAGTGACTATTCCTACCTTGCTTGGCTATGCTTACAAGCAGCTCACCAGTAATCGTACTGAAAGTAACTGAATTAATCACAATTTTGTTGTCGTTCCTTTGGTAGTAGGCAATTATTTCTTTGCTTGGAACATGAAGTAACGCGATGGAAGCTGGAACCTCCTCCGCTAAAGTCAAATCGAAAAAAGAATACTTTTTGTTAGCAATATTCCAGTCTAAAAAGCACCGAATATTTTCAATATTTCCGAAACTACTACCAACCATCTTACATTATATTTTTATCAATATTTTTTGCCTCAGTATTTGCTATTTCCGCCTTACAAACTGATTACGAACATATCATATAAACAAACATATATGATATATTTATTGATTAGTTTTGATAGCAGTTCAACAGATATTAAAATATTTTGGGGCTTATTAGACGGGTTTTAAATTGTTACTTATTACCAAATATCAAGTCTGTATCATTCCATGGATGCCAGTCAAACACTACGCTAATTTTACGTTTAGTACGGACATATAAATGCACATCACATGAGTTCCAGTTGTAAATAATTATATTACCATCCGCATCGCTACTCGCCAAATAGCGCATTGTCGGTGAAAACTTTATCTCTATTATAGGGAGCTTATGTCTATTTTGTTTGTGTATTACTTTCATTTCAGGTACTGACAAAACGTATACAGTTCCATGCTGCGTCCCACACACAAGATGACCGCCAGATTTACTCCATTCAATACAACGAACTTTTTGATGTTTTATATTAAAAACTTTTCCATTTGTGATCATAAATCGCTTAGGACATGCAACGTCCCATAATTCTATGGCTTTAAGTACAAAAATCATATTGATATGCATCGTTTTTTATTTAAGTTTCTACACTTACCTGGATTTTTACCTATCTTACAGCCTACTGCTAAATAATCACCATTCGGGCAATATGCAACAGCACATGCTTCTTTCACCTTGTATAAAGTGCATGTATTCTCCTTACGTTTCCAGAAGATCACATCATTATCGAACACCGCAACTATTTGGCCATTAATCGACCAATCTACAAGATTCGCATCTGCAAATCTTTGAATTTAACTTTAATTAAATGGTATGTGCTTTTAGTTCAACCTACCACAATTGATATCAAAACCAGGTAAATCATGTGTTGACTCTGAAAATGTCATTGGTTTCAAACGTGGCTTGCAAGTCCAATCAAATTCTTTAAATTCATCGCGATCTTTTCGGTTGGAGTGTATTGATATAACATCGTTCAATAACATACAGCAATTTTTAACGTATGGATCAGACAACTCTAGTATTCTTCGCTGGCGCACTTCAAGCTCCTTGTTAACAGTGAAGAGAAAAGAGTTTTGATTCCAACAGTTAAACGCCAGCATCTAAAATATTCCTTACTGAAATAATTGAAAAAAATGCACATACCTACTCCTAGTTTACTCACGGTTTTAAAGACGTCTTTGTTGGTGACTTTGTTAAACTTTTCGTTCTGTTCAATATTTTTTAAACTATAACGGCGGGGAATAAATCGATCCCCATATAAAAAGGGCACCACTCTATTAGGAACGTAAACCCGCTGGAATATGATAAAAATAGAAAATAATAATATTTCTTTTATTTTGTTTAATCAGTAATATCAACATATTCGAAATTAACAATTTCCTGACACTGCTTAAGCTTCATATCTAATATAAGGATTTCAATCAATAAATAAAATGACAAATTAAATACTCCTTTTAGGGTAATCAGGTTTTATTCAAATAATGATAAATGCCACTTGATAAATTCACAGAATCTAAACTACTTTTCCTAATAATGGAGAATAATTTCAATAGATTGTTTACATCAACCTTAAAGCAACTTCATTTACTAGTTATTGAGGTATGCAATGATGCTCATTGCTCTGCATGACTGGGTTTCGAAAAAGTACTCCATTCACTAAATATTTATTTCAAATCGACCTTGCAGATGCTTTACAAAATACAAATACAAAACTAATGAGTTAATAAATATCACATGAATATTTTTAATAATTTTATAAAATACAGCAGAAACAGATAGACCATACAAATTTAAAAACTACACTCTAAAAATCAATCACATCAGACATTGAAGGTATTAAAGGATTTTATTTTTCTACAAATATCTCTTATTTAATAGCATATATCTTAAAAATAAGATAGCTTGGATTTTGAAATTTAAACGCTAACACAATACTTTTCATATAATACATAATGCCAGATCACTTAAGAAAACAATTTATGTTATTAATATGTCGGACACAATTTATTTTATTGGACACAAACTATGGCAAGGCAAATCTCTTGGTACAGCATGTAATTGAACAATAAGAAAATTATTACTAAATAAACTCGAAAAAATTTCGAAATTTACTGAAGAGAAACCTGAAGAGAAAGAAGAAATGCCATAGATCATTTTCTACAGCCATTACAAACACATTAATGTCATTGAATGTCATATTCCATATGAATTCCGCTACTACAACATATATTTTAAAACTCAACATATGAAACTCAAAGTGTCAGCTAATAGCACCAAAAATATAGAATAATAATATTAGAAAAGTGAAAGAACAACAAAAAAAAAACATTAAATAAATAAAAAAAAATGTCCGTACAAAACGTCACTATAAGTGTTTTCAATTTTCAAAGGTGATTATTGCATTTAAAAACATTGTATAGATGCTTTGGAGATGGACCATTAATGCCATAAAATGCCAATGTATTTTATGGCATTAAAAAAATCTGTACGTAAAATAATTATTTTAGTCATAATAATTAACAATAACTGCTATATCTAGCGTATTAATAATCAAACAATTAACGAAGTAATTATGTTTTTTAATCAAACGAATTTATTAGAATTTTATGTTAAGATACTTTACCCAATATAGTTTTTCATACTATATGAATCTACCCACTATCAGATTTGAATGGTCTGAATTAAATTTAATTTCTATATTAAATATTTTCAATAGTCACCACCAAATCTTATCCTAATGTTTCGTTTACTTAACAAATAATGAGCCAGTTCCAGTCATTTCGAAAACAGTATGTGATCAGTTACCTAAAAATCCAATCTATAAAATTTAATTTGTGATTTCATTGATGAACGAAAACCAATTAGTGTACATTGTAACATATTACACCATAATTTTTATTTGATCAAAACAGAATTCGTTAACAAAAACTGTTAAATGATATTGATTTAGATTAGATCAGATTGACATGCCAGCCTTGTGCACCAAAGCAGAAATAATGGCTCGTTATGATACCAGGAATGTAACACTGTCTGACCTGAAAACCAACCTAAACATAGAAATTATCCCTAACAGCATCCCTTGAAGATGGCGCTACTCCCAAGCTGATGAGTCTATATAATTATATAGGTGATCGTGTACATATCTATATACCTTAAAGAGCTTTGAAAAATTAATAATCAAAGATCTTGAAGAAATTTAACTTCTTTGTGTAAAAAATCTTGAGTTTCTCAAGATTTATAGTTTGTATAAAATCTATCTTGAGTGAAATTAAATTTTCGGTAAAAGAGTAAATTTGGTGAAGACTAAACTTTTATCAGAAATGACTCAATATTTCTATTTCTGAAACTTAATATTAACTTTATTTCCCCCAATTTGCATGAAATATTACTTATGTTATCATATTGTTATTACTTATCATTAAACCTGTATCATTTCATGGATGCTAGTTAAATACTACGCTTGTGTTCCAGACATTAAAATTGGTCATTTTTAAGTCCAAGCCAGAATGAACCAGGGTTAATCATTCTTTTTAAGGCAAGACTTAAGACTAAAGGCACACTTAAGTCTAATTAAATACTAGAAATATTATTATGAATTCATTTGATTGGGTTAATATGTAATAGCAAACATAACACGTCCTTCTCGTCGAAAATAGAACGTACTATATCTAATATATTCTTTTTATATTTAATATATAAACAATGCAGAAACTGTAAATATTGATTTGTTTTCCAAGTATTTTTTTCAGTGCGCACACGACCACCCATTTATATAAGATACGTAATATGAAAAGGTATTAATTCTATAAACAAAAGTATTTCTTTACATATAAATACACAAAATATGTATATATTTTTCCAATTCTCGACGCCGTGTTTGAAGAAAACCGCAACGCAACACAAGTGCATCGACACATCTATATTTCACTTTCCAAACATTGGTGCTTCTCTCAAAGTAAAATTAAAACTTGATCGAGACATCAAGTACGTCGAAACAAGATATTTCAGAATTAAAATACTGAGCAAATGGACACAATAGACAGTATTAGACGCGCAATATCTGAGCAACAACATATTTTCATTTGATCGGATCGAAGTGTTGAAGTGATTTCAAGAATAATTCTTCTCATTGCCGAGGTGTTTGGAATATGGGTTTGAGTTGATGAGATAAATGCTTTCGTTGTGGTTGGGATTTTTTAGATCAGCAGTTGTGCAGCAATTGTATTTGTGAACCTAAAGGATTCATTGCAGATGCCTATTACATTATTCTACTGGCCTACTAAGTCCCAACATGATGAATGCAATAACCAACATCAAGAGACTTCTGAAACGATGCAGTGTAAGTGCGGTATATACTTGCTATAATTTGTGTTTAACTTGGAATTTTCCAATGGCATGGATGGACGGTTACTCCAACCAACGTAGTGCCCCTGAAATTTCAAAAAGTGTCACAAAACGCGAATGTATATATATATACATATGCGTATATGTATGTATGTATGCACGTGTGTATAAAAACAAATGTGTTAACCTTTTTTTCGTTCTCATATTGGTTGTTTCGTTTCTTTATTAGCAGTTCCAACGAAGAGTCATTTGGGTTTTGGGTAATTAAAAACTTTTCAAAGCAAACATCCATCACTCGTCCTAAGCAGTAATTATTCTTATCACATAAATTTTTCTTTTAATACATCAAAATATCACATGCAATCACAGTTACAAACTAAGTTATTCGGTAGTTTGTTATTGGTATTTCCTACTTATATAGAACTTTTTTTATAATTAACAGTTTTTCGCGGCGGTGCCACCGGAATGAAAAATAAACAATACATCCAACAACCAACCAAAGATCAAAATAGAGAAGGGGCTGATTGCTTAAGAAATTATTATTGTTAATATATTAATAATATAATAATGTACAATGTAATCTATTAGGTACCACCACGTTTCTTCCCCTTTGATTTGGACTTACAGTCTCTCGTTCTTCATCTATTTTGTCTAAAACGCTTTGTCTTTTCATTAAATGTTCTATATTTTTTCGATAAATTACTCTATCATTGTCTTCTACGAAAAATGACCTTGGTTCTTTACATTTTTCTGCAACTGTTGCAGGATACCAAATTGAAAGTAGTGTAGGTTTGAGCTTGTTCAGCTGGACAAATAGGCTTGAGCATCACTTCTTCTCCTGGAAAAATAGGTTGTAATTTGACTGCCTTCTTGTTAAAATTTTCAGATATTTTCTTTATATTTTGCTCAACTTGAATTTTGTACTTTCATTATTTACAACTTTTGGTTCTAAATCTATAGTTTGTAATTTTGTTCTTAAATGACGCGATATCAAGAATTGAGAAGGACCTTTAGGAGTTGTTCTGTAATGCAATAACGCTGTATAACAATCTGAATTTGTTTTCTTACATTTTATCAATAATTTTTTTATAATTTGAATGGAACGCTCTGCCATGCCATTAGATGAGGGCTCGATGTTATGTGTTCAATAGACCAATAATTACAAAACTGATTAAATTCTTTTGTATTATAAGGAGGGCCATTGTCTAAAACAAACATTTTAGGAATACCATGTCTAGCATAAATAGGTTTTAATTTTGTAATGACCTGCTTGCTTGAGTAACCCATGTTTAAAGTATCAATTTCGATATACTTTAAATAATAATCACAAACCAAGAGGTATTGTTTATTTTCAAATTCAAAAATATCGCAAAACTTCGCAAGAATATGTGCTTAAAACTTTTTTGTAAATTTAGCAATGATAAAGACCTGTTAAATAAATATTCTTTGTTAAAAAACGAAAGTTTAAATTCACATTAATTATTATGAAGTGTTTGTCTATAATCACTGTCAAAAATTCAAAAGGTGCGAGTTATTCAAAGGGCAAAAAAAATAACAATGCTGGGAGTAATCAACAAACACAGATTTGAGAGAAAAATAAAAGTGAACTCAATCAAAATGGCAATAATCTGGAGATATAGTTCCAACAATAAACAATCAGTGAATCAAAAGAAATATTAAATGGAGACTATAACAACTCTTAAGCGATTTGTGTGATTGCACGAAAAAAACAATAGGGTCTGTACATATAGTTATAGAGTCTGTAGGCTTTACCCCATTTATTTTAATTATTCAGTTACTTTTTTAAACAACATTAGATATTTAATAACTTAATTTCTACGCGATGAAATTCTAAACGTTTGTTATTTTGATTCTTTGTCCATAATAAAATAATATAATAATTAAATTAAAACAGTTAATAATTCCTATTATTATATTTTCCTCTTTAATTTATTCTAAATTAGATGTGGTGTCTCTTACTAAGCTAAGAAACTTAACCGATTCCATGACGCGATTTGTTTACGGTCTCAGAAGATTTGATCACCTGGGTTGCTTTAGGAATGCAATCTTAGGTTGCTGTTTGTTTCTGTTTAAATTGGTTAATGCTAAATTACCTGCACACCTTTTCAATTGTCCACAACAATCACGATCCAATAGATGTCTTTAATTTGTTATTCTCAGATTTACCTTTACTCCCACAAAAAGTTTTTTTTTTATCCATTCTGTCAGAGTATGGAATTCGCTTTTGTGTGCAATCAGAAACACAAGAAGAGTAGGAGCTTTCAAAAAATGCTGGTTAATGAATTATCTTGTTATCACCCGTTCTGACACATAATTCTATTTCTTAATTGTTTTTTTTTATTTTTTTAATACCTTTTCTGTTTGTAATATTTAATTACCTATTTTAAATTTTTAATTTAAATTTTTTTATTTTTATTTAATTTTTTTTTTTGTTCCCTCATTTTTTTTGTACTCTTTTTTGCTTTACTATTTAATAATTAGTACATTTTTTATTTATTGTGTACATGTTATTCATCTCTCTTATTGTCTTTTTGTCTTTTTCCATTAAAGCATTTTTTAAAATAAATGAATAAAAAAAATAAAGTGACATTAGCTTTTTGAAAAATATAAAAATGACATTAGCTTTTTTACATATTTTCTTGTGTGGCCAACTCACCACATCCTGCGTGGTTTGATATTAAATGGTGAGTGTGCACCACCACAAATCTGTTGAAAATTTGACTTTATTAAATATAATATATGGAATATATAGTAGTTTTAAAAGTTCTCAGAATACTATACATTCAAAAACAATAATTATGTTTCTACTAAATTGTAACCCATCAAAACTTATTTTATAGAAAAGAAGCACAACTCCTACAATATCAGAAAACCAATGATGTTATTCTGAAGATCAGACAACGAATCACCATTACTAATATGTACTGCTATGGGCTCAATAGGCAATTGGAATTTAGAGCTCTCTCTCGACAAACGAACCTTACGCTCTATAGGTCGCTCATCCTCCCTATGCTTGTGTATGGCGTAGAAGCATGAACGTTATCACAAAATGTTGAAACAGCGCTGGGAGTGTTCGAGAGAAAAGTTCTTCGTGAGATCTTTGGTCCTCTACGAGTTGGCGACGATTACCGCATACGAATGAACCACGAGCTCTACGAGCTTATAACGACATTGATATAATTCAGCGAATTAATATCCAGCAGCTTTGCTGGCTTGGTAAATACTTGAAAATGAATGAAGATGCTCCAGTGAAAAAAGTGTTTGAAGCAGTTGTTGACGGAAGAGACATAGAGGTAGACAGTGTCTCCAGTGGAGTAATCAAGTTGAGGGAGCACTAACTGGACTTGATGTACGAGACTGGGGAAGGCGCGTATGGAGCAGGTCGAAACTGTGTAACGGGTTGTTATGGTCAAAAAAATAAATAAGTATAATGCATGGAAAGTCTTTATGGATATTTCAAAATTATTTGATACCTTTATTGACTCATTAAATTATATTTAATTATAATATTTTCTAACATATTTATTTCAATCATTTGAAATTTCATTCAATAATTTATCGAAAATTAGCGACACGTATGAAGTTTCTGTTTTATATTATGGATATTTATACGTGCTAGTATATTTCTTTCTATAAAATTGCAACGTAACCAAGTTAACAAATAACCGAGACATCAGTTGCGAGGTTTAGTAAAATACAAGCTAATACGTATTATTGTAAAGTGCTTCACCTTCCTCTTCTCCATTGCTTGACAAAACACGAGTGTCTAAAGCACTTTTACTTAACAGAGTCTGTGTCCACTTAGATGATCCACTATAACAAAAACTTCGTTGAATTTTGGTAATGAGCTATTCAGGTGTATTTACAGAAGTATATTCTGAAGCGCAGCATATCTTCTTGATAGAATATATATTGCATTTGATTTGAGAGAGTGCAATTCTCAATTAATGTGCGCTTTCACAGAATGGAACAATCTCAATGCTCGGTCTTTAATATACTTTTGCACACTTTCGACTCTTTATAATAAATTCGGTCCTAACGTATTGCTTCGCTCGGATCATTGCAGTGTCTTTTAGGCGAAAATATTCCAATTCGTTGTGTAGCAAATATTTAAAAATATTATCAATTTCAAATTATAAAAACAGGTAAAAAAACATATTTGCTTAATTAAAGAAAAAAAACAGTGTAAAAAATAATAATATCGGTACCATCCCTAAGCAAATCTTTATTATTTTTGCATGCAGTCATAGCAACTCAAGTACCTGCAAAAAAAACTCTTCGGCTCATCGGCTAGTTATAAGAGATCCAATTGATCACACCAAACTTTCAACCACACCATGTTAATAAAATCATTTAATATTAAAATAGAATACATAAATCTTAATAAAATTTGTTTTAATTTTGTTATTTTTAATTAGTGAGCATTTTCATATCATTAGTCAACTTCCTAAGCAAAAAAAAACGATTACCCTATGGAAGTAGACACATCAATTAAAGTTTTGAATACCTGTAAGAATATATAGAATAATCTAGGTTGCAAGTAGCTAATAAAGGGGACAAAACTCACTTTAATCAGTAAAATAAGATGACCATAAACATAATAAGTTCGATATTCCGATTAACATATAAAAATATATCACCCATAGAAAACAAAGTGTCATATGTATAGAAACGTGATGTATTCCTGTACTTAAGCAACTTTTCTTAAACAAGCATCTATTTTGCGCTTTTCAGTCTGAAGAAAATGTTGTTTGTACATTTCTGGAGTCTGTGGCGGACTTCTGATAATATCTCATACAGATCAATATCCAGATATTTGACTCAAGAACATATTGACTATCAACATATTGATTATTGCTTGGATAGATATAATGTTGCGTGGTAAAAACATATCTTCCAAGATAAATAGCGCCACTATCAACATTAGGTGGGTTCCAGTATCACAGCTTTTGACGGTAGCAGTTAACAATGTAACAGAATAAATAATACACGTTCTGGCAGTTATTTATTCTTTTAGCCTTACTTTCACTTTTTGTTTCTTTTCTTTATAAAACTATGACAATTATATAAACTGTATCACAATTATGCGAATTTTTAGTTAAAAATAAGTGAAAAAAATATTTAAGATATAAAGAAAGTCGTCATAAATTTCTTCCATTTGATTGATATTTTATTTTATTATTTCAATGTAAAAAACTTGTTTGCCACTAAACTCTTAACCTCAACTACTTACTTAATGTGTCATTATAACCCATTATCGGATTGTGTGCTCCGTTAACTTGAACACTCCTCCAACTGCCGCTTCAAATTCTTTTTTCGCTGCAGCATGATATGCTGAGTTATATCAATGTCGTGATAGAGCTATTACAGCTTTATCACATCATAATAAATTTTTTACTATGTACTACTGACACGATTTATGGTGCAAATTCAAAGTTCATACGAAAGTCTTTTAAATATATATATACAAGTTTTTACAAGTTTTTTTTTATATAATTTAATTATATACAAAAGTTTTAATATATTTAGTTCCACAAACCTTAAGTCCACCTCATTACGCACAGAATTATATGCTGACCTACGGTCCGTCTTCAGTTAAAACGTAAATAAATGATAATAATTCTAGTATGATTCTAGGCAGGGATAGTCCCCCAACCATTAAAGAGTAAAAGTGCGCAATAGCACTAACTGAAACCTCAACAACAATAAACATAAATACAATATTGGTAAATGTACATAAATTATATACAAAACTATATATATAGTTCAGAATATAACTGAACAGTTGTAGCTAAACTTGTATATAAAATACTAATTAAATAAAAACACATGCAGCTTTAAATAATATCCAATAAAACATAAACATATACATATATATAAATATACAACTAATATTAATAAAAAATGTTTATATGAAATTGTGTTAAAGAAATTTTAGAAAATATTTTGTGATATAAAATTTAATATTAATTACGTTCAAAACTTTTACAATTTTAATAACACAAAAATTGAACCATTTTCCATCCAATTCAATAACAAAATAGATAATTTTACAATTTTAAATAATAAAGATTTTAACAAACAGAATATTATTTGCTGCTACATAATTTAGTTGTCTTATTTATTTAAATAAGTTTTCAAACACATCTTGACAAAATATTCTCGGCCCCGTTGTACCAAGACTTTGCACTCTGCACTTTACAAAACTTACGAGTGACATTTTTTTGCAAAGTAATACAATTATATTATATACAATTATATATTATATGTTTATAGGGAACATTAAATTTTGTATACAAAATGTTTCATGATGTCCAAGAACAAATTGTAATTAGTTCTTGGATTTTCTACACGATAAGTATCTGTTTGATCATTATCTTCTCCAAACAAAATTTCATACCGAATCATTTTAACTAAGAGAGTAACCACATGAAATATTTATATTCAAATGTAAAATATAAACTTTATTTACCTCTAAGCCCCCTTCTGGGCTTAGAGTAGGTCTTTAAGCCCTGTTGCGTCAATAAAAAATAGTATAGAACCTACTTTACAGAATTTTATTGCCTCTTCCGTAAGAATATACATTCCTAGAAGCCTATTTACCTTTATTTAATTCAAAAATATATTTCTTCAACAATTTAATTAATTTTTAAAAAAGCAATAATATTTGCTCTAAAATAATTTTCTATCTCTATTTTTTCTTTCTTTAGAACATCAATATCTTAAAACTATTTTATTTTATTTTATTTATTTATTTTCTTTATTTCTTTCATTTTACACATTTTGTCCTTAATTAATATACATAGGAAGCTTATGTATAAAGCAATTATTTACAAAATTTCTAGTGTGAATTAATCATTTGCAAATTTTTTGAAAAGATTTACAGATTACTTTTGTAAAAAGTCCGGGTTTTTGTCAAACATTTCGCTTTACTTTTCTTACTTTACTTTGTTAAAATTATTGAAAATATTTTAGTATAGCTATTCCATATATATAACTAAAAAAATAATATTACTTGCAATTTTCCAGTTACAGGTTTTAGGAAAAACAATTCTCCAAACCCTATATTTTCTTACTGTGTCTCTATCATATGGAACACAATCTTTGAAAGACATTTCATCGCAGGATATCGAAACAAATTTTTGTTCATGTATAACTTTAACGCTTTAACGCGGTTATAAAGAAGTGAAAATTAAATCATATTAACTTTTTTGTTTAATTATTATTTAAATGGTAAATCCAAATTCACCTTGGAGAATGCAATTGAATCTGATCATTAAATTAAAAAAAAATGTGTTAAAATAAAATAGTTTACTAATAAATAATAAGTTAGGGCAAAATGTTTATAGTTCTAATTTGTAACAAGAAAAAGTTCTTCAGTAATAGTTACCTTAGCTGTTAGCTTATGATAATACTTATTCATTATCTTAATATTTCGTTATGGTAGCTATTTTCATGATAATTACAATTTTCTTTATATTAAAACTTTTGCATAGTTATCCAGATAATGGACAGCTGCATTATCCATGTGAAAGGTATAAATACTGTCCCAACATTTTGGCAAACTTTTTTATAAATTAAAATTTAATCTTATACATACTTTTGTCGAATTTAAATCACACTAAGTACTTCATGAATTTTGTAAAATAATATCGAATATAATATTTTTTCAATTCAAATTAGTTTTTACATATTTTGTAGACTTTCGATAAATTGCTTTAGTCAATATATATGCATACATAAAATAAACAGTTGCTAATTTTTGATTGACCATCTTTAGTTTCCATTATATATCGATAGTTTCATACTTTTTAAAAATACATTTGGGCGATTCTCATAAGAATTAGAAATTTCCGTTATTTCCTAAAAATTAATATTAATATTAACCATATTTTTCTGTTTACAAACTTATTATACAAAATATCAAACCTTGATTTTCTTGTTTTCTACGTTAGGTTTGTAGATTGTATCTGCAATGTGTACATGTGTTTAATCAATCCAAAAAAAAAATTTTTTTAACATTTACACCTTCAGTTTTCTCTTCTTGTTTCTTTGACATCGTTCTGTGTCGTTATCTTCCCAGATATACCTACTAAATAATTTATAAAATCAAAACTTAAATTAGAAAATGAAATCTTTTACTATAAAAACTTAAAAATTTTTTAACATGCATTAAACGCAGATTGTTCTGAACAACCTGCAAACGTGGTACCAAGTGCTAAGTATCAAATAAAAGTGTAATCGGTTCCTGTACACCGACACAATAACACACCTCTTCATTTTAATTTGTAAAAAGAAATAATTTTTATCTCTTCAAATAACACAAAAATAAAAATTTTAATTCATTTTTAAATTAATGCTTTAAATACAGTCAAACTTCCATATCTCGAACTTCTATAACTCGAATTTTGTATAACTCGAACCAAAAACAGTGCACCAAGGTTTTAGAAAACAAATTACATACAATTCTGCTTTCATAACTCGAACTTCTATAACTCAAATTTCTTTATAACTCGAACCAAAATTTTGTTATGTGCCGATACGAATATGGGAAAGTGCATTCTATAAGTCGAATTTTTGTTTTAAGTATAAATGCCTTTTGCTGTTAGGGGAAGTGTTTTTTCCAAACCAAATGTTTAATTTTTTCTTCCTCATGTTGCTTCTTTGTACAAATGCCAGTAAATGCCAGCGTCATTTAAAGTAAATAAAATAACTTTCAATGCTACTGTTAACGATTATATTGGGCTTGACAATGAAATGTGTACATCAAGCGTTCCTACAGATGAGGATATTATTGAGCACTATAACTCTAAATTACTAGATCCAATTCTAAGCGCAACGGAAAGTGATGATGAGGGTTCGGTGGATGTAATTGTTCATCAGCCTTTCAAGAATGAAGTAGAAGACTCATTCAAAATTCTAAATTTATATTTGCAAACGAATGATACTACAACAGATAATCACTATAAGAGTATGAATAAAGTGGAATCTCTTTTTACTGAAAATAAGAAAAAAATTAAAGTCCCAAACCCTTATTTCTGAATATTTTACTTTACTATAAGTTTTTTGTTTAATTTGATTGCAAATAAATAAATATCTTAAAATGTAATTCTAGTTTCTTTAAAAAAAAAAAAATAAATAAATAAGTAAAAAATAAACAAATTCTCTAACTCGAAGTCTCCATAAGTCGAACCTTTTCTTTGCAAAATTGGACTTCGAGTCTAATTGGAAGTTATACTGTATATTTTTTTTCATTTTTTCCGATTTGAAAAAATTACAAAATTGCAATTATTTGGCGTAGACCATACAACGATCATATTGCAAATGTTACTGAAAGAATAACACGAGAAATTATTATTATTATTAAGAGAACAATTTATATGACAAACTATGACACTGAAATACGATTGGCAGATACTACAGATGTGAGCCTTTTTGGAGCAAATTACTACAATTTCAATACAAATGCCAGGAAGCAACACAGCTTATTTTATAAACCACTAATCCGATTATTTATTGAATTCTTACACTTTCTGATTTGGCGCAAAGACGTTTCATTTTGTAAGTATTACTAAACAACTTTATAAAATGATATATTATTTATTTTGGTAGCAATTTTCAAGTATTATAAAACACCTTTATAAAACGGCATATCTTCTATTTTGTAAAATGGCTGTTTATTTGGAAAGGAAAGCAACCGAATAACTCATAGCCATGTACCAATTCCACTAATGCCTGTGAGAAGTGAAAATGCCTAATACCACAACAGAATGACATGTGAATAAGCATTCAACGCTATGTTTGACCTGATAAAAACCGACAACGCCAGGTTACCTCTCGAGGAACTGAAGAGAAAAGAATAAGCACTTATAAGGGCAGTGTACACTGCTACAAACTGAACTGTAAACTAAAAACATATGATATACTATTAAATAACAAACTAATCTTATTGTTTAATTGCAATAAGTTATTCACGTATTGAAGTAAAGATGTTTACACGATTTTACGTATTCAATCATTTATAAATCTTCAAATGCCTTGATATCATATCATGTAGGCGCTTCCATGATAAGAATGCTAATCAAAATAAACAAATTTTATACACACCTGGCCGCATTCACATTTATCGAAAACCACTCCGAACATTATTGAGAATCTGTTTGCACTGATCTTGTTAACTACACAGCATTTAGTATTTAAGTGTAGATCACTTTTTTATTTAATCTGTAAATCAAATTCGACAAATGAGATAATAACCAATTAGTTAATAAATATTAATATATCCGTGCAAGGACCATTTGAGTACTTTCAATCACATTTTAGAAAATCCGAACAGCAACGCCCGAGCCAACTTCATTCCAGTTGCACTTCTCTTAGGAATGAGATTGCAGTAGCCCCAATATAAATATTGGGAAACCATGAATAGCTGTTTGATCAAATAATTTTTGTTGACAATAAATATTCCGATTTTCGCATATCGCTCGACATTGATGTTAAAGTCTTACACCTCCGACTTTGCTGCTTTTGAAATATTTTTACGTTTGGCCATCCCAAATCTAAATTCATTCGATCGTTTGGCGATTCATAAAAAGCACAAGAATTCATATCCATTAAATCACAACTGCACAAAATAATCACAAATATAGGATTATATATAAAAATGTTTAATAATGTTTCCTGCTTCTAGTAAATATACAAGTAAATGGTTTTTTTGTTGCAAGCAAAGAACATGTCAAAGGACAGGTAATTCTTTTCCAAAGAATATGAAGGAGAACTAAAAAAATGTCAACATCATGCACTAGTGTGGTATATTCTGCTGGCATTAATAAATAAGGTCTGTTCTTCGAGTTACTCGTAGTAAAACTCGAGTAAAACACAAGTAAACTACGCTCTTTACACAAATTTTTTGTGTAAGGCAAAGAATATCTGTATAGAAACTCTTGCTCTCTGAGAATAACGTGAGAAATTTTTCAGAAAATTCAGTTTTTATAACATTTTGGTCACAATGCATATCACCAAGCTTATGTCAATTTTTAGGGCTGTAGTATTATTGTTTATTGCATACATTTTACAAAAGGATTATTAATATTTTTCATTTTAGTACATTAAATATGTTTGGTAATATTAACAAGGAAAACTGGTTAAAATAAAAGTTGTTTTTCTATAAATTATATATGTTTATAAAATTATATAAATCTATACTTTACAATAATAGGTCTGTTCCACGAGCTACACATAGTAACTTTGAGTAACACTGTGTATACACAAGTGCGTTCCACGAACAAATTTGTGAGTAAATGAGAGCATCTGAGAGAGCGTAACATCCCTGTCGAAATTTGAAAATATTACACAGACTTTACTCATGCATTTTATATGAAGTAAAATTTGTGTTTATGTGTAAATCAGCTGTTATGGTTTAAATTCAAATTTTTGTATTGTTTGTTTGCGCGGCATTTGTGAATATAAAAAAATTCTGCATCTTTAATTGTAACAACTGTAATAAATAAATATTGAAATGGATAAAAACATAATAAATATTTTATTAAGTGATTTAAGTAACACAACACAACCAGAATATAACGTAGTTAATACACTTCGAGATAGTGACTCTGACGATAATGTAGAATTGGTGTATTCGATATTACATAAAAAAAAAGAAAACGTGTGTGTATAAAACATTATATACAAGATGTTGTTTACAAATATGACGACAAGGAATTCAAAACTCATTTCCGCATTTCGCGGAGCCTTTTTAATTCTTTGGCTATAAAATTTCAAAATAGTACCGACTTTATTGCACTGCGAGTAAGTGAGCTGAACATTTCTCCAGAAGCTCACGTTCCTGTTTTTTTATGGTTTGCTGGTCACGAAGCATGTTGTTTTAGAGACTTATCAGATCGCTTTAATCTCTCTTTATCGTCAGTAAACCGAGTTATAAGAAGGATGATAACTTTCTTTAGCAACATGTGTCCGGATATAATTGCATGGCCTAGCACATCAAAAAAGGAAGAAGCAAGTACATTTTTCCGATGCAATTTTCCAAAAGTTATAAGTAAGGATTTATGTGCATATTAACGCTGCATATATATTAATACATGTTACTTTGCAGGTTGCCTAGATGGCACTCGTATAACTATTGATCCTCCTGGAGATCGTAAGGACGACTACATTGACAGAAAAGGAAATATTTCATTATGCTTGCAAGCCATCTGTGATGAAAACAATAAATTTATTAGCATATTTGTTTGTGTTTATTTGTATATTGCTTATTTTTCATTAATTAATTTTATTAATATTGCAATAAAGAACTTAATTCTAATTAACATATTAACATCACATTTTATAAATATATACTTAATTCTACCTTAGCTTTAAAATTACATTATTTAAATAAATTTTTAATTCTAATTAAACATAAAGACTATAATATTAAAAGTAAATGTGTTTTTAACATAATGTGTCCTAATAATAATAATATGTAATATATTAAAATAAGTTTAAAAATAAATAAATAAAATATATTAATTATTTTATTATTAATGTGTTTGTTATTTTTCAATTTCTATTTCTACTGTTTTGTTTTTCAAAAAACAGCCGCTTTCACCAGACTTTACACAAAGCTGTTCCATGAAAATTTGTGTAAAGAGCGTAATCTGGCACTTTATTTGTGTTACGCTCTCAGTTTGTACTTTACTTCTGTTTTACTCATGGTTTACTATGTGTAGCTCGTGGAACAGACCTAATATATGGTTGATAGATTCAACCATACTTTTAGTACATTAAAAGCAGTTTGTAAATTTATATGCGATAAAAAAAACATTTGAAGCAATAACCATATTTTATAATATAATTATATTAATTATAATTAATTAATAAATAATTAAAAATAATTAATTATGATTACATTAATATTATTAATTAGCTTTGTATTATGTTTCTGTTTTAATTGTTAAATGTACAAAAATAAAATTGACTTAAAATACAATTTTGTAAAGTGATTCTATTATTTAAATAATTTGCAAAGAGTATCGCCATTCAGAAAAAGAATTAATATAGAAAAAGTAAATGTTTATAATATGTTTACTGTTTTGTTAAATATTTTTTTAATTTCATTAAAAAAAAATTTTGAATAATTATATTATGTTAATAATAAATGTAATAAAAAAGTGTTTACAATTTTAATTGAAAATATTTCAAAAAATGTTATTACTAATTTTATTTAGCACATCGAAGTACGAAGTGTGGTGAAAGGGGACGATTGATGGTACTGAATGCATTGATTTTTTTAAAATAATTTAAACTAAATAGAGTAAAAAAATTTCTGTACTCGAAATAAAGCAAATTAGTTATAAAAATTATTCGTAATTTAAATCACTGAGTTAAATAATATTGACTCTTAATTTGTATATATGCTGGTTTGTTCTTTAAAGAGTTTCCCTATATGTAGAAATAGCGCACAATGTTATAGTTTTATAATTCATCATCATTAATGCAAATTTATTTAAAAATAAAACATTTGCTTGACTTTTTAATATACAAATTTATTAAAGGCATTTGTTTGAATCAATATATTTTATTTGCGTACATGCAAACATATTTATTAATATTTATATAACATAAATTAGGTCTTTTTTGAATAATAAACTAAAATTATGTTGGATATATTATTAAAATCTGGGACTAGATAATTGTACTGGCTAATTATAAATATTATATAGTATCTGTACATATAAAAAATTAATATTTAAAAACAAAATTAGAAACAAAATGATAGCATTTTACTTAATAAAAAATAAAAATATGATATAGTACTTAATTTTGAGAAATATTCTTATAATAATAACATAAAATTATGTAAAATTTTATTTAGAAAAGGAAGTGAAGGTGTATGTAGTTAATTAAACCGAAAGGCTATCGCATTTATAGATATATATCCTTATATATATCCTATTCGAAAAAAATTTCTATATCTATCTTTGTAATTTAAATTTGTGCACATTTCAAAAGAGTACAAAGAAAATATAAAATTTACAAAGAAAGTACAAGAAAACATATTTTTGCTTTACTGATTTGTATTTATACACATAAAAACAAACAAATCACATCAAACATAACACATATATTTTAAATCCACAATTAATAAATTATTTTTTTTTACTTTCTTTCGTTATTTTCAGGAAATTTATACATTTCCTTAAATACCTTACATCCCATTACGCAATTCCGCACCATCTTCAAATATTAATAACTGAAGTAATAATTGTAATTAATAAATGTAATTATTTTTTCAAAGGAACTTATTCACTACCTTTTATAACTTCGTTTGATTTGATTACGTTTCTTAGTTTTTGGCGCGTATTTCTTCTGTCAAAACACCAAAACAATATCCAATTTGCGCTCTTCATATCGTTCTTCCGTAGTAAAAAAATTGAAGACCGTTCGTGGTGGTGAAACGTTCCGTTCGGTGTGGTGGATCTTTTCACTCGTGGTGGGTCGACTTACAACACAAAACAACATGCTTGGTCTGGTGTAGTAAATTATTTTGAGAGTGCGTTGGTTGGTTTGTTTTGTTTACATTTAAGTTACCGTTCTTCTACAAGTATTTTTTGGTGTTGTGGCAGCACCAAAAAATATAATAAAAAGAACTGTCAACAAGGCACAAAGGAGACAACAATATCCGCAGTTCCCGCCAGTAGTAGTTTGGAAAAAGAAAAAGCAGCACGTGAATAAGACGTAAAAACATAAATCTTAACTTTAAGAATATTTTATAATAACTAAGTATAAGAAATAAATAAACTTATCCATTACCAATACGGAGTGTTAAATTAACTTATCCATTACCAATACGGAGTGTTAAATTCGAAATAAACCCCAACATAAAAAACCACTACATTGGTGACCAAGCCGACGTCGAATATATAAAAAAAAATGGCTACTCAAGAGCAAAAGATAACCGAAGACACTAACCCAATCAATGAAAACGCAACAATCACTGCAATAAAGCTGCCGATGCCAACATTAATAAAAAACAACATTGACCTTTGGTTTATTCAGTTGGACTACTGGTTCCAAGTCAACAACATAAAGGGCGATACTCAAAAGTTTGGCACAGTTATCGCAGCATTGGATGCATCGCTGTTAGAACAGATTTATAACACAATACAGAATCCACCAGCAACTCAGAAGTACGAAGCTATCAAGCAAGCAATAATAAAAAACTTTGCGGATAGTGAACAAAAACGCATACAAAAATTAGTTAGTGGTTTACAGCTTGGGGATAAAAAGCCATCCCATCTTTTAAGCGAATTGCAACGTATTAGTGGAAGCAAACAAGACGAACAATTACTGAAAGGGTTATGGTTACAACGTCTTCCTGTAGAAGTACAGACATGTCTAGCCACAATTCAAGTGGAACTACCTAAGATGGCGGAATTGGCAGACAACATAACCGAAACAATCCGTATAAACTCAACAATGCAAGGAACTTACGTCAATGCAGCTAACGTCCCTGCAGCAGCTCATATTTCAACGTGATGCACAAATCGAACAACTTCAACGAGAAGTGACCAGACTGACGAAAATGGTCTCGAAATTATCAACCGAACACCGCTCAAGAACAAATCAACGTTCACGTTCAACATCCAGAAACCGGCAATGTCATGATGATAGTGAAGAAAAGACCAGTACAAATTGTTGGTATCATAGAACATATGGGTCAAATGCAAAAAATTGCAAGCAGCCATGCACATATGGCACAAAAAACTAAAACCGACTTCGTCTACGGCGGCAGAGGAAGTTGTAAACGAAACATCTACAAGACTGTTCGTCTATGACAATAAGACAAAAAAATCATTCCTAATAGACACGGGTGCAGATGTTTCACTTATTGCCGCCAAACAAAAAAATTCAAATACAAACAATAAGAACGAAAGAATACTCTACGCAGCAAATGGTTCTATGATCAAAACATTTGGAGAAATAGAGATAACTCTAGCTCTTGGCTTACGAAGAAATTTCACATGGCCATTTATTATCGCAGATGTAAACACTTCAATCATCGGTGCAGATTTTTTAAATCATTTCGGATTAATAGTAGACATAAAAATGAAACGATTGATCGACACATCAACAAAGATTTTCTCAGCCGCAAGTGAACGTAAGGTAAATGCGCAAAAAATATCAACTGTGAACACATCTTGCAAAATTGCAGATCTACTAAAAGAATACATCGACATCACTAAACCAACACCGACAAATCGCCAGGTGACCAAAGTCACTCACCACATATTAACAAAAGGTCCACCAATATGTGAGAGACCACGTAGGTTACCTCCAGACAAGCTAGCAGCAGCAAAAGAAGAATTCCAAAACTTAGTCACAGCCGGAATATGCCGTCCATCAAGCAGCAATTGGGCTAGCCCCTTACATATGGTAAAAAAACCAGACGGTAGTTGGAGACCTTGCGGAGATTACCGTCGCTTAAATGCAATCACCATCCCAGATCGTTACCCAGTTCCTCACATACATGATTTTGCACACATGTTATATAACCAAAAAGTTTTTTCAACCATCGACCTGATTAAGGCATATCACCAGATACCAGTTGAACCGGGGGATATTCCAAAAACGGCGATCATAACTCCATTTGGATTATTTGAATTTACTAACATGACATTCGGACTTTGCAATGCAGGTCAAACATTTCAACGCTTCATTCACGAAGTATTACGAGATCTCGAATTCGCCTTTGCCTATATTGACGACGTCATTATTGCATCAGCAAACGAAGAAGAGCACAGGCAACACTTGCAACAAGTATTCGAACGATTCAGAAAACATGGTTTAATAATAAACGTATCAAAATGCGTTTTTGCTCAAAACACAGTAAAATTTCTTGGTTATCTCATAAGTGAAAAGGGCATTCAACCTCTACCAGATCGAGTGAAGAGCATCAGCGAGTACCCGCTTCCAACAAAAACAAAAGAATTAAGAAGATTTCTAGCATTACTTAACTTTTATCGCAGATTCGTACCAAACGCTGTAGATTCTCAAACTGCACTTCAACAAATGATAAAAGGAAACAAGAAGAACGACAACACACCGTTATGCTGGACCGAAATGAACAAAACAATCTTCCAAAAATGTAAAGATGAACTAACAAACTCGACACTACTTGTTCATCCGTCAAAAACTGCTACGCTTGCATTACAAGTAGACGCCTCGGATAAAGCTCTCGGCGCAGTTCTTCATCAAGTGACAGACAGCACGTTCCAACCACTCGGTTTTTTCTCTAAACGATTAACAGATACACAAAAACGATACAGCACATACGATCGTGAGTTGTTAGCCGCATATCAGGGCATAAAACATTTTCGACATACGTTAGAAGGTCGTGAATTCGTATTAATAACTGACCACAAGCCACTCACGTTCGCATTCCAGCAAAAGTCCGACAAGGCTTCACCACGTCAAGTCCGACAGCTTGATTATATAGGTCAATTTACAACGAATATCGTTCATGTCAGCGGAAAAGACAACATCCCAGCAGATTTTCTCTCGCGGATAGATAGTATTAGCATCCCAAAAATCGACTACGATTGTATAATTGGATTACAACGATGTTGCCCACAACTACAAGATATCAAAAACAACAATTCCATCGAAATCAAACTTTTATCTTTACCAACAATATCAGATAAAATTTATTGCGAAGTTTCAACTGGGCGAATTCGTCCTTACATTCCGCAGAAATACCGGCTACATATCTTTAAAGCTACGCATGGGTTGTCTCATCCCAGCATTCGGGGCACAACAAAAATGATAGCTGAAAAATTTTTCTGACCTTCTATAAATGCTGATATCAGAAACTGGACCCGACAATGTATCCCATGCCAACGTTCTAAAGTGCAACGTCACAACCGTTCACCTATTTGTCAATATGAACTCGCTGAACACAGAATCGAACATATAAACATAGACATCGTCGGCCCGCTACCACCATCAAACAACTGCACATATATATTAACCATCATCGACCGTTTCAGCCGATGGCCAGAAGCAATTCCGATCCCAGATCAAACAGCGGAAACCATCGCAAACGCACTGATTACTCAATGGATCGCACGTATTGGCGTACCCTTACGTATCACAACAGACCAAGGAAGACAATTTGAATCTTCATTGTTCAACCAACTAGCTGAAGTTATCGGTTGCAAACACTTACGAACTACGAGTTACCATCCTCAAAGTAACGGAATGGTGGAACGATTTCACCGCACATTAAAAGCAGCCTTAATGTGCCACCAAACAACTTCTTGGACAGAAGTTTTACCAATAGTATTGTTAGGTCTACGCACGACTTTTAAACCAGACATTGGAGCTTCTGCTGCTGAAATGATATATGGCGAAATAGTAAGCAACCCTAGCCACAGAAATATAAATCAACACGATTTCATAACCAAGCTAAGAGAACAAATGCAGAGCGTCAAGGCAACGTTGATATCGCATCATATAGACCGAGGCTACCACATCCAACCGGCTCTAAGCTCAGCCACGCATGCATTTATACGAAATGACAAGGTAAAACCACCATTGACGCAACCTTACGATGGTCCTTACCAAATACTAGAGCGAAATGACAAGACGTTTAGAATACTGATCGAAAACAAAGAACAAACAGTCAGCATAGATCGTCTTAAAGCTGCTTTCATATGTCCCGATACAAACATTGACATCCACAACAAATCAATGGTATACCACACTCCAAACAACGTTAATGGCGACCAGTCTCTGCGACCAAATACAACAGCTAACCTGACAAAATCAGGACGCAACGTTAGCTTTCCAACCAAATTCAGTGACTCCATCACTTAGGGGGGAGTACTGTGGCAGCACCAAAAAATAAAAAAAAGAACTGTCAACAAGGCACAAAGGAGACAACAATAGCCGCAGTTCCCGCCAGTAGTAGTTTGGAAAAAGAAAAACAACACGTGAATAAAACAAAAAAAAACAAATCTTAACTTTAAGAATAGTTTATAATAAATAAGTATAAGAAATAAATAAACTTAACCATTACCAATAAGGAGTGTTAATAACTTATCATTACAATACGGATGATAAATAAATAACCCCAACATAAAAAACTACTGTCATGTTAGTGCAACGACCATACATGCTTTATCGCTTGGCTCGCGCATTATGTTACACATGCATTTGTAACTACATGAGTCAACTGCATTCATAAATGTAACATGATCTGTAGTGGTTTGTTATGTTGGGTTTTATTTCGAATTGAACACTCCGTATTGGTAATGGATAAGTTTATTTATTTCTTATACTTAGTTATTATAAAATATTCTTAAAGTTAAAATTTGTGTTTTTTCGTTTTATTCACGTGCTGCTTTGTCTTTGTCCAAACTACTACTGGCGGGAACTGCGGATATTGTTGTCTCCTTTGTGCCTTGTTGACAGTTCTTTTTATTATATTTTTTGGTGCTGCCACAGTACTCCCCCCTAAGTGATGAGTCACTAAATTTGGTTGGAAAGCGAACGTTGCGTCCTGATTTTGTCAGGTTAGCTGTTGTATTTGGTCGCACAGACTGGTCGCCATTAACGTTGTTTGGATGTGGTATACCATTGATTTGTTGTGGATGTCAATGTCTGTATCGGGACATATGAAAGCAGCTTTAAGACGATCTATGCTAACTGTTTGTTCTTTGTTTTCGATCAGTATTCTAAACGTCTTGTCATTTCGCTCTAGTATTTGGTAAGGACCATCGTAAGGTTGCGTCAATGGTGGTTTTACCTTGTCATTTCGTATAAATACATGCGTGGCTGAGCTTAGAGCCGGTTGGATGTGGTAGCCTCGGTCTATATGATGCGATACCAACGTTGCCTTGACGCTCTGCATTTGTTCTCTTAGTTTGGTTATGAAATCGTGTTGATTTATATTTCTGTGGCTAGGGTTGCTTACTATTTCGCCCGGTAAACGTAGAGTTTGGCCATATAGCATTTCAGCAGCAGAAGCTCCAATGTCTGGTTTAAAAGTCGTGCGTAGACCTAACAATACTATTGGTAAAACTTCTGCCCAAGAAATTGTTTGGTAGCACATTAAGGCTGCTTTTAATGTGCGGTGAAATCGTTCCACAATTCTGTTACTTTGAGGATGGTAACTCGTAGTTCGTAAGTGTTTGCAATCGATAACTTCAGCTAGTTGTTTGAACAATGAAGATTCAAATTGTCTTCCTTGGTCTGTTGTGATACGTAAGGGTACGCCAAAACGTGCGATCCATTGAGCAATCAGTGCGTTTGCGATGGTTTCCGCTGTTTGATCTGGGATCGGAATTGCTTCTGGCCATCGGCTGAAACGGTCGATGATGGTTAATATATATGTGCAGTTGTTTGATGGTGGTAGCGGGCCGACGATATCTATGTTTATATGTTCGAATCTGTGTTCACCGAGTTCATATTGACAAATAGGTGAACGGTTGTGACGTTGCACTTTAGAACGTTGGCATGGGATACATTGTCGGGTC